TAGCTCAAGTGGTAGAGCGCTGGCCTTGAGCTGAAGAGCTGAGGGACAGCGCCCAGGCCCAGACTTCAAGCCCCACGACCGACCAAAAAAAAAAAAAGATGAACCATTAGTACTCTTCAAACTTTTCCATGAAATAGAAACAGAGGAGGCAATCTCAAACTCTTTTATGAAGCCAATATTACACACATTGCAAAACCAGTAAGGATCCAACAAAAAAGAACTATAAACGAATTTCTTTGATGAACATAGATGTAAAGCTCTTCAATAAAATACTAGCCAGTAGAATCCAGAAACAGATCTTAAAAATCATACATTATGACCAAGTAGGCTTCATCCCACAGATGCAAAGCTGGTCTAACATACACAAATAAATGTATTTTACCACGTCAACAGTCTGAGACAAGAACCACCTGATTATTTCAATAGATGCAGAAAAAGCCTCCAACAAAATACAGCATCCTTTCATGTTAAAAGCTTTGGAGAGGGCTGAGAAGGTGGCTCAGTGGTAGAGAGTTTGCCTTGCATGCATGAGGCCCTGGGTTTGATTCCTCAGCACCACATAAGCAGAAAAAGCCAGAAGCTGTGGCTCAAGAGGTAGAGCGCTAGTCTTGAGCTGAAGAGCTGATCTATGACAGACCAACAGCCAGCGTCATACTAAAAACATTTCCCCTAAAATCAGGAACAAGGCAAGGATCTCCACTCTCCACTCCTCTCCAATATAGTTCTGGAATTCCTAGCCAGAGCAACAAGGCTAGAAAATAAACTATCCACATAGGGAAAGAAGTCAAGCTATCCCTGTTTGCTGATGACATGATGTTTATACCTAAAGGACCCCTAATCTGCTCAAGCTGGTCAGCCACTTTGGAAAAGGAGCAGGAAACAATATTATCCCACAAAAACCAGTAGTTTTTCAGTATGCTAACAATGTACAAGTAGACAGGGAAAACATGAAAACAACAAAAGAGAGAAACAGAAAGGCGCAATGCTCAAGTGCCTCTTTATATGTATATAAAATAATATATATACCGAAACAAGATATGTAAGCAAGAGGCTTTTTTTTCTTGTTCTTAGTTTTTGTGTGATTCTTTGTTCTTTACCTTGTGTATGGTAAATTCCAGTGTACATCTTCAAAAGGGTTGGGAGGAGAGTAAGAACTCGATGGAAAAAGGGTGAAAAAGTGCAGCAGCTCACTGGTCACTGATTAAAGTGAACTATACATCTCATGGGTAAAGACAGGAGAGAGGGACTGAAAAAGAATGAAGGAACAGAAGACACTGATTCATGTAATTGCAATCTCTCTATACATCACTTCTATAATAACAATAAATGCATGCAGCAAAAACAAGTCAAATTCTATCAGAAGTTTTACTGTTCTTTAGCAGTCATTTCTTATTTAATGCTGAGGGAATATAGAATACATTTAAGAGAATATGTGAGGAAGCTTTTTTTTTATTAAAAATAATTGTTTTCTGTAAAAAGTAAAGGATTTGCCAATATGTAGAATGCACTACATGGGTACTTGTAAAAAAAATCAAAATCGGTGCACATTGCCATTGGCTTTCTTGCCAATGACAAAGAAAAGCAACAGAAATCAATTTCATGTCAGTTCTTTACAAAATGTATTTAGGACAAGGCAGAATTTAGTTATTTGTGTTATCTCTTATTTGAAAGGTGCCTGATTATTACAGAATAATTAAAAATCCCATGGATTTGTCAACCATCAAGAAAAGACTCCAAGAGGATTATTACATGTACACAAAGCCTGAAGATTTTGTAGCTGATTTTAGATTGATTTTTCAAAACTGTGCTGAATTCAATGAGGTGAGTGGCGGGGGAGGGCGGGCGACAATGCCGATGTGTGGAAGTAATCTTAAACCAAACACCGTTCAACAAATGGAGAGACCAAGATGTCTGTGATAGAATAGACACCTGAAGGGGTGTTGAGGTCTTCAGGGTATGAAAGAGGTAATTAGGAAGAGTTTATCCAGATTTATGGTAAAAAAAAAAAAAGATGGAAAAAGAAAAAAAAAGAAGCTAACTGGAGACAACTGTAAGAACTGTCATTCCTAGCTTCATATCTTAAAACATAGCACTTCAAGAGCACTGTGGTTCATGCCTGTAATCCTAGCTACTCAGGAGGCTGAGATCTGAGGATGGTGGTTCAAAGCCAGACCAGGCAGAAAAGTCCCCATAAGACTCTAATCTCCAATTAACTATTCAAAAACCAGAAGAGGCACTGTGGCTCAGAGTGGCAGAGTGCTGCAACCAGACCCTGAGTTCAAGCCACATGACCAGCAAAACAAAAACAAACTTTTGATGTTTATCTTGAAATAGTAAGTATATAAGCATATAAAACTAAGTATAAATAAGTATGTACAAAAGTTCTCACTTAAATTTTCTCTTCATCTGTCAGACCGAAGACACTTGTTGGCTTGTCAGTGTTTTGGTTATTCTACAACACCACATTTCTTTTAATTTGTTGTACAACTACCACTTTCATGATTTTGTGCCATTTTATTGATCTTTCTTCAGTAATCCAATCATAGTATTACTACCTCCTTTTTGTGTATATGTGCCAGTCCTAGGGCTTGAACTCAGAGCCTCGGTACTGTCCCTGAGCTTTTTTGGTCAAAGCTAGCACTCTGCTGCTTGAACCACAGCTCCACTTCTGGCTTCTTGGTGGTTAATTGGAGGTTGGAGTCTCATGGACTTTCTTGCGTATACTGGCGTCAAAGTGCAGTCCTCAGATCTCACTTGTTCTGAGTGCTAAGATTACAGGCGTAAGGCATTGGCACCAAGCTAGTCTTTTTTTCTTTCTTTCTTTCTTTCTTTTTTTGTAGTTGACTTTCTCTAGTCTTTTTTTTTAATCTAAGACCAACATTACCACAGCAGAGATTTTTTATTTTTTAATGAAAATGGTCTCTTGGTTTTCATAAACTCACAAGTCAAAAGTGTAAGTGATTACTTTTATTAACTGTCTAAAATGTGGGCTTTCATTTATCAAATTCCTATCTTTCTCCAACAGCCTGATTCAGAAGTAGCCAGTGCCGGTATAAAACTTGAAAGTTATTTTGAAGAACTTCTAAAGAACCTTTATCCAGAAAAAAGGTTTCCTAAACTCGAATTCAGGAATGAATCAGAGGATAACAGATGTAGTGATGACTCAGACGATGACTTTGTACAGCCCCGGAAGAAACGCCTCAAAAGCACCGAGGAACGCCAGTTGCTTAAATAAGTAGCACCATTGGCATATGCTTATTTTTAGATATTTTTTGTCTTATTGTTTCAAAAACAAAAAACATTTGCCATTAATTTAACCTCCTGCAAAGATGAGTTTGTGAGACCTCTGATCTATTTTCATTGTTTACCAGACTTTGGTTTCCTGAAATGAAATTTTTTAACTTATCAAATAAAATGGATGCAAATAAATGGAAGACGAAAAAGATGCAGAAGAAAATGAAGCACGCAAGCAAGAAAAAACAAGCATGAAAGAAAACTAAATGAAAACCTTTTTCCCACCTCTTGAGTGACAGCTACTAGGGAAAGGAAATAGACTTTGTATGACCTCTCCGTTGAAATGTAATATAATTTGAATGTGTGCATTAATCCATTTTTAGATTACAAATGCCACTACCCATTGATTATGGTCCAAGCATATGAATTAGTTTACTGTTCTTAAAAGTACTACCAGGGCTTGGGCAGTAACAAAAGTTCTTTCAACCAGGATGCCAACTGGTATACCAAAAGGGTTGTAGATTAGATATTCAGAAGGATCTAATAGTATATCATGTAATATGGCAACTATATTAAAGAAATCAGGAAAACAAATGTTGATTTTTGCTTTTATTCTTACCTTGTCTGTAGACGTGTTTGGTCTAGCAGGTTTTCAAGGCCATTTTTCATCCATTTCTAGATGTAGATTTTGTTCAGCTTCTTCTCGAAGTAAGAGTGTGCACGTTTGTTTTTGCTGTGTGTCTGTGTGGTTTTTTGGCTTTTTTTCAACTGTGCAGGTTGATCCTTTTATAGCAAGCCTATAGCAGGTAGTAGAACTAACCAAAATATCCAGTAGTGTGTATGAGTGTACCATATTTGGTGTAAGATTTCTTCATTATGTGCCCCTGAGAAACACTAAATACAAGTTGCCCTGAAAAAGGGATACGATTTTGTGTGTGTGTGTGTGTTGGTTTAGTTTTCCTTTTCATCTGTCTATAATTTCGAGTAAAGAGTATGTTTGGTATCTGGGAAGAAATTTGGGACAGAAATTATAGATGAAAGTATTTCCTGAAACTTCTGGTTTCTGTTTGGTGAATTAATTAATTGATTTTTTTTTTTTTTTTAAGAATCAGGACCTCAAATTCCAACTCTGATTAGGCTAAGTTCATGAAGAACTTCGTTTTTATTCCGATAGAGATACAAAAGATCTATCTTTTTGGAACAAGGCAGTTCTTCATGGACCACACCAAACTAACTTAGCTGACACCCAAGTGTTTTATTTTTTTCACTGGGCCTGGGGATTAGATGAATTGTCAGCACAGCAAACTAAATTAAGAGAGAAGAAAGTTGCTAGGCCACATAGACCAACATTTGACAAAATACTTACACATGAATGTGTTCAGTTTGCCACAGTAAACCTTTATTAATTAACACTACAATTAATGTTTGACTGGAGGAAATTTCTCTAAGATGACAGAATAAGAATATAACTGACTTGAATTCTTTGATTCTAGCATCTCACACATTAAGACAAAAAGAACTTGTTTTTTAACCAGCTATCATTTATTGCTTAAAATGGGCAATTTGAAAATATTCTGTGGATAATTGATAGAATTTTCAGATATCACTGGAGATAGAAGGAGAAATTAGCAATGGCTTCTTATTTTCTATATAGACTCGTCTGTAATATGCCAACTATGTATTAATTGTTAAAAAGTCTTAGTAATTACTTTTCCAAGTGTGTTACACCATGATGAATCTTGTGTTATTTTGAATATACAATTGACATTTGTTCTCCAAAGACTATTTGAGCAAATTTTATAGTGACACATAACGCCTTTTAATTGTCTTATTGCTCCTCCAGCATCTTCATTCAACACAGTGCTATGGAACTCTTGCTAATAAGTCTATTATTCATACCTTAGACTACTGCTCTGTTGATAATTTATTCTCCCCTACCTCTACAATTTTTAGAATCATCAGTAGGGGAAATAGAGCCTAAGGAAGTAGAATTCTCTACAGTACATCCATGTGAATTTTTCAAACTGGTATTTTTATTTCACCATTGCCGTCTTTTGCCGAATGAAAGACAGTGAAAACCATTTTTCCTCTAATAGTATAGATTATCATCTTCAATGCAAATGTTTTGGGTTTCTCTCTCCAAATAGCTCTTTTGTAAGAAGTCCTATGACATTAAAAAGTGCCCAGGCCCAGGTGTGTTCCAACTAAATATCCATTCAATTCCATTCTGCTATAAACTAGAAGTTGAGCCTGACTACCCCATGCTCATTTTGAGATCACAGATACTTCAGAATGATCAATGTGATTATTGTGATTATGTGACCACATAAATTCAACCTCAACCCCACTTCGAACTTATGTGGCCCAGTAGATTGGGGACCAAGAGCCCACTGCCAAATGGAACCCTACTTTAGACCATAGCTTATAAGTGGGCAGAGTGTGCTGAAGCCAAGATTATCAGTTCCAACTCAATGACAGCTTTCCCATGTCACAAGTATCTGATTTTTTCTGACATGAAGGAAATCCAAAGGATGTCATGGTCTATGATGGTAGAAGTATGAATGTGTTAAGTATGCCACATTACATGTACAATCCATCTTTGTATCCCCACCTACAATGTGATCCTTGTGCTTTGGATTAATGGGTCCTGCTTGTTTTTTTTATTTTGGGTTTGCAGTTTCCATGGCACACTTGCTTTCCTTTCCAGACTAAACAATAGTCTTTCTGTTGTATGTACCACACAGAAGTTCTTATGTAGTACGACTTACATGAATGCTGTCAAAGGTTAGCTTCACAGTTACTGGGTGAGTATACAGCCAGTTGCTCCTTTTATGAATTTGCATTTCAAAATCCTCTGGTGTTAACAGTGTAAAATCTTTCCTTTTGACTTTCTGGGAGAGACAATGAAAGGAGGAACTTCTCCTTTTGCAGAGACCTGACCCAAAGAATGTAAATCCCCAAAAGTAAGTTGTTGCATGGAAACAAAAGGATTTTATGTTTAAATTAGAAACATACTCATTTTCTGTTTACCTGTATTCAGTATGAATAAGAGGAATCCAGTGATCTGGTTAGTCATTATGATTATGGACATGATCATGAATTCATCTGATTTCTTAACAAGCTCCTCCTTGCAATAATCATGTACATATGTCAACTGTTTTATATAGGTCTGTGTAAATTAAAAATCGATGACTTTACATTTATTGTACCTTCTTCATCTTGGATGGGAACGTGCGATTCACATGCAGGTGACCAATGCTCCTGAGGGGAACATTTGTCAGATCAAAGCCTCTTCATGGAGGTTTTGCATATTGCCAGGGATATCTTTGGCAATAGCCTAAATTTGGTTTTCTTTATTGTTTTGTGTGGGGGCTTTTCCCTCCCCTTGGGAACTGGTGCTTTGAATTTAATAAAAATTAACTTTTGCTCACTTTTTTTACTGTGAATATTTTACCACAGCAAATAATTTTTTTATGAAAACATTGACGATCCAACAGTAGAATTTTACCTATCTCTTCTAGATGTAGTATTGACACATAGGGACAAGCTCCTGGTCCATAAGTAGGTAACACATGTATTTCATTAGCCTTAAAAGATAATCAGTGGGCTGGGAATATGGCTCAAAGTGCTAAAAAAAAAAAACTTGTATATCAATATCCAGTGATGAAAGATAAAAACAGTGGAAGGAACATGGGTGATATCCTCCATCAATATTCCACACAAAGTAGGAGAACTATGCCATGAATTTATTTGCCTGAAAGGGGAAGATGGAGAAAGTCACAGGCTGGAGACTTTTACAGGTTATGTTGAAAGTTCACTACATGACTTTTACCTATAAAGTTTGAAAGGTTTTGATAACTATTCTTTTAAAATTCTGTTTTGAAAAGTTGAGTATTCACTCCATTTTCAATGGGAGATAGTCTACTTGATTCTAAAATTAGTTTTTTTGAATAGAATAATTAAGTTCTAATTTGAGTCCCAAAACATCCTCCTTGGTAGTTAACAACATTCAACCAAGTTCTATTTTGGCACAATCTCAAATGTAGAGAGACAATGAATTGTGGCATGGAAGAGAGGCTATTTTTAACATCTCCACTATTTGTTAGGAAATTTGGGAGTATGAAATCTTTGTTCTTGTTCTAATGCCCTTAACCGCCCAGAAAAGTGTGACAGAAAATCTAATCCAAGAGTTTTCCATTGCAAATGACTAATGAGCACAACTGTCATTGTTACAGGGGAAGCATAGTGAAGTGCTTCTTCACCCTTGAAATGAAAGTGTGCTAAACTGAGAAGTAGGCTGCCCCAAGGAAAGGCAGATGTTGAGGTACCAGACTTTGATTATCTGATCTGATCTTCATAGACATTCACTAGGCCAGCACCCAAAATGTCCAAAATAATGGTATTCATATTACAAAAGTTTTTATTGTTAGACTATGCTTTAAAGAATCTGCACGACTTCTCTTTTACATCTAAACCTATTTGGTTCTGACATTTCTATTTTACACACACACACACACACACACGTGTGGCTGCACAGAGATCCCAGTTTTATTACTCTTTAATAACTCAGTTCATAAAAAAGTTCTTACAGGGGCTGGGAAGGTGGCTCAGTGGTAGAGCGCTTGCCTTGCATGCCTGAGGCCCTGGGTTCGATTCCTCAGCACCACATAAGCAAAAAGAAAAAAGCCAGAAGTGGCGCTGTGGCTCAAGTGGTAGAGCGCTAGCCTTGAGCTGAAGAGCTGAGGGACAGCGCCCAGGCCCAGAGTTCAGGCCCCATGACTGGACCCCCAAAAAAAAAAGTTCTTACAAGGGGCCAAGTGTGTGCCTTAGTGGTAGAGTGCTTGCCAAGCATGCATGAAGCCCTGGGTTCGATTCCTCAGTACCACATAAACAAAGCCAGAAGTGCTGTGGCTCAAATAGTAGAGCACTAGCCTTGAAGCTCAGGGACAGTGTCCAGGCCCTGAGTTCAAGCCCCAGGACTGGAGAGAGAGAAAAAAAAATTCTTACAGGTAAATAATTGGAAATGTGTTTTTGTGACTACTACTATTAAATATGCTAGAACAACCTACCTCAGTTATCAAGGATTGGTCAAATTACATTCATGGTTGATAGTAAGTAGACTAATATCTCAAAGTCTGGATGCTAGACTGTGCTGGGGAGCCGTATAAAACTCCCTTATCCTGGAGGACCCCCACAAGAACTGAGAGGCCTGAAATTATTGGGAAGATACTGAGCATCATTAATTGATTGGTGATAAATTGCTACTAACTTTGGGCCTTTATAATTTAGAGTTAGTCACATAGCTAATGCTACAAGTTAAGACATCTTTGCATTAGATACATTTTGGCCTAAAATTACATAAGACTTTAGTTGGACACTGATAGCCCAGTGCCTCTAATTCTAGCTACTACAGAAGCTGAGATCTGAGGGCTACAGTTACTTTTTAATACATAGTCCATCTTAAGTACTAACATACAGAAATCAAATTGTTACAAATATGTCACAGTCCCAAGAAAATAAAATTCTTTTTTTTCTCCTCTGGTAAATGTAGCTCTGCTGGTCTTCATTTAATTTGCTAGAAAACAAAATCATTTACTTGATCAATAATACACATACTTTAAAGTTTCCATATATTCTCAATCTAGCTGACACTGCATACTAAAACAGTAAAAATTTACAAGGAATTAAGAGCATTTATCTTTGTGTATCTGTAACTACAAGTAACTATCTTTAGGATTTAGTAGATCTAGTGTAATATGACATATAGAAAAACATACCTTTCAAGATTTTTTTTTTTTGTCGGTTATGGGGCTTGAACTCTGGGCCTGAACGCTGTCCCTCAGCTCTTAAGCTCAAGGCAAGCGCTCTACCACTTGAGCTACAGTGCCACCTCTGGTTTTCTGAGTGTTTATTGGAGATAAGAGTTTCACAGATTTTCCTGTCCGGGCTGGCTTTGAGCCTCGATCCTTGATCCTCAGATCTCAGCCTCCTGAGTAGCTAGGATTACATGCATGAGCCCACTGGTGCCCAGCTCCTTTCAAGATTTTTTGTTTTTACTTCACTGAGCTCATCAACATTTCTTAAAGTAGTTATGAGGCAGGATCTGTGTATGTGTGTGTGTGTGTGTGTGTGTGTGTGTGTACTGGTACTGGGGCTTTTACTCTGTGTGTGTGTGTGTGTGTGTGTAATGCTTTTACTCAGGGCCTGAATGCCATCCCTGAGATTTTTTGTTTTTGCTCAAGAGTAGCTCTCTACTCCCTTGAGCTACAGCTCCACTTCTAGCTTTTTTAGTACTTAGAAGAGTCCCATGAACTTTCCTGCCCAGGCTGGCTTTGAACTGTACTACTCAGATCTCAGCCTTCCTGCATAGCGAAAATTACAAGCATGAACTACTGGCACTCTGCTCAAAACTGCTTTTAAACTGATGACAAAGCTGATTTAGCTAGTCAAAGCAGTTGGACATGTCTTCACTTTTAAATTTTAGGGGCTTAAACATTTTTAACTTTCTATGAAATACAACACTGGGGTATACACACATGTATCTTTTAAGACACATAGCCACTGACTGACAGGGCTATCATGTATCCAAATTTCCAGCATGGCCCCTGAGATGATTTGCTTTCCTGGTGCCCTAGGTGGTTATTTTGTGTAACAGATGAAAACACACTTATATTTAAGATGAAAAGGAAACCTGAGTCATCTAATTCAGTGTCTAAACACTCAATGATGGGTCACAATGTGTGACTAAGAGGCACATTACCTTCAAACAAGTTAGGAGAAAAATCAGACTTTTCATTTTACTCAGTAGCATCTCCCTCATCTTTTACTCAGAAGATAGCTATCTGAGCTAAAAATATTAGTCTACATCTTTCTTGAGTAAGAAGAATGGGGAAAGAGCAAGGCACATTCAGCCATGAAAGCACGTGACTGCAGCTGCTCAATAACCTCAGAGATTCGTGCTTTCCCCTAAACAGGCACCTGGGTGCTGTACTTGAGATTATTATTTGTTTCAAGGCCAGTGCTGTCATTTGAGCCACAGCTCCACTTCTGACTTTTTGGTGGTTAATTGGAGATAAGTCTCAAAGACCTTCTGACTGGCTGGCTTCAAACCTTGATCCTCAGATCTCAGCCTCCTGCATCCTGAGTGACAGAGCACAAACTGCATATACTAGGGAAAAAAATGTCCTGAGGTGGGACAGCATCAGAGCCCCAACCTGTACTTTGAGATAACTATCGTTTATTAAATACAACTATCGGCAGATGGCTAGGAAAGGTCTCTCTCTTGTGACTGCCCAATTGTATACTTTGGGGCCATCTTTGTGCGCATGAAAGAGGGAAAGGAGGAGGAAGGAAAGGAAATGCAGGGCAGGAAAGAGAAAGGGAAGAGAAGCGAGAGAATCTCACTGAAAATCGGCCGCTAACTCTTGCTCTTCATGCCTCAGCTTTCTGACTACCGGGATTACAGATGTGTGTGTGTGTGCACATGTGCACACACACATGTGCTTGCATGTGTGTGATGAAAATTCAGTGGTTGCCAGGAGAACAGCCCAGTCCTCGCAGCAGGACTTGGGACTAGGGAGCACTGTAGAAGGAGCTCACACAGCAGACAGTTCCTCCACAGTCAGGCAGACCCCATTTGGGGTACCTGGCACACAGTTGGATTTCTGGGGATGGGGAGAGGGGAGGAACAACCTACTGCCACTCTGAAACTTTGTTCTTCCCAACACAATCATATACAGCAGAACTGGAGGTCATTTTAGTCATCGTGACAGGATGACCCCTGGTCCTTGTGGGCCCATGCTCCAACCAACTTTCCTGATGATGACATGGTGCCCTGGGGTATGGCTTCCTGCAAGCCAGGGCCTGCAGCCCACCTCAGAGCAGCCACACTGAAGCTCTGACACCTGCAGCCCGGGGACTAGGGAAGGGAAAGTGGAGTAAGTGGAAGGACCAACCAACACAAGGCACCCTTGGCTTCTCCCATCACCTTGAGCTCTGTAGGGCTTACATCTGTGTGCACAGCGGGAATGGGCAGAATGCTTAAACCAAACCTCAACGGATCCATTGTCCCTGTGAGTCAAGCTGCTGTGTGGTAGGACAAGGTTTGGATCGAATCAACAGTTACTTCAACTTCAGTGTGGCTCAAAGCTGTGTGTGGGGAAAACTGGAAACCCAATCTTGTTTTGTTTTTTAATTGGAACCAAACGTTGTGTTATAACATTATGTCTGCTTCAGCGAAGATGCCCCTATAACCAAGTTCACATCCTTTGGTCAAACAGCGGTAGTTGAAAAAAACTAAGGAAGTGGCGCTGTGGCTCAAGTGGTAGAGCGCTAGCCTTGAGCTGAACTGCTGAGGGACAGCGCCCAGGCCCAGAGTTCAAGTCCCATGACCAACATCAATTAATCAATCAATCAATCCTGAGAAAACCTAAGAGCTTCTTGCACAACTCACCTGGAGTGCCCGTCCTTTGGTCTCGATTGGGAGAGTGAACGCAGACACGGCGCACACAACACAGACCGACGAGAAAAGACACAAGGCTCCCAGGAATGAGGCGCTCATGAGAACCTGTAAGTCACACAGAATGACTCAGTCGCTCTGCCACGCACTTCTACACTGGTTTGGGGGTGTGGTGTTTTTTTTGTTGTTGTTGTTTGTAGTTTTTTGTGCCAGGCCTGGGGCTTTAACTCAAGGTCTGGGCACTGTCCTTGAGCTGCTTTTTGCTTATGGCTAGCGCTCTGCCACTTGAGCAACAGCTCCACTTCATGCTTTTATTTATTTTTTTTTTTGGTAGCTTATTGGAGATAATCATCTCATGGACTTTGCTGCCCAAACTGGCTTCAAATCATGTTCCTCAGAGCTCAGCCTCCTGTGTGGCTAGGATTCCAGGCATGAGCCGCCAGCACCCAGCTTACACTGGTCTTTTATACCCAAGGTAGAATAAACATGTGTTTATATTTAAATAATGGGACTTTACAGCCAGTGATGCACACACACTGCATTTAGAACATTAATTTTAATTGGGCCAGCAAGTATGTAAATTTTGTATAATTGGCCTTAATATGTACTGGCCAGATCAGACGGCTCTTCCTACAGTGCCGCAGCATCTCTGGAGTAAACGAGGGTTTGAGAAAGATAAGATGTCTGTTCTTCCATCCATGCTTGTTAGCTGCTTCTGCCCTCCTCAGTGGGTGGCATACTTCCCCAGCAAATGTACTCCCCCTCCGCCCCTCACCCCTACCAGCACAAAATGGCAGGAGGTTTTCTCAGAACAGATGTAACCTCCCGGTCTCTGAACAGACAACTCATGAATCCCGACTCTACTCATAAAGCTTCATGAGATGATCAGAACTTCCTGTTTGGTGCCTATTTTTCCACATGAAGGACTAATTCCTGCCGATCTATATACAACTTTTGGCTACACCTTTTCACTTTGATACTGCTAACAGTCAAGCATTTGGTGGTTGTCACCCAGTCTTTTTTTTTTGGGGGGGGGTCTGATCGTGGGGCCTGAACTCTGGGCCTGGGCGCTGTCCCTCAGCTCTTCACCTCAAGGCTAGCGCTCTACCACTTGAGCCACAGCACCACTTCCGGCTTTTTTCTTTTTGCTTATGTGGTGCTGAGGAATTGAACCCAGGGCCTCTGGCATGCAAGGCAAGTGCTCTGCCACTGAGCCACCTTCCCAGCCCCTGTCACCCAGTCTTAACAAGGACTTTTGCTGGTCCTGGGTCTTGTACTCTGCCTGGACACTGTCTAAAGCTGCTTTGGTTCAAGGCTAGCACTTGAGCCACTTCTGGCTTTTTCTACATAGTTTATTGAGATGAAAGCCTCCCTGACTTTCCTGCTCAGATTGGCCTCAGACCGTGATTCTCAGATCTCAACCTCCTAAGTAGCTAGGATTACAGGCATGAACTCAGCAACAAGGACATTCTTAACTATGAAGTCACCCTGGGACAAAGTGGAAAGGTCTAGAAACTACCTGTTCTGGTGAAACCTCCTCATTCAATGGATGAGTCTCATTGCAGTACGCTTTCCCAACTCACATGCAGCCTAATGTGATTACCACCTCTTAGGTTCCATTAAGATGCCCAATTTTGCCAGATGCTATTGGCCATACCTGGGAGATAAACGGTGCCACCATTGCCCCAATGCGGCACAGGGACCCGCTGGTGCCCATCCCCAGAGCACGCATTGTGGTGGGGTAGACCTGTAGGGAAAGGAGCAGAGGGCCCCACTGAGTGACGGCTCTTCTCGGAATTTCCTCTCCTCCAGCCCCAGGACCTTGGGGGTTGTATGTACTTCTTTTTTCAAGTAGACTTCAGACATAAAAGATTCCCATTTTCTCTGGGACACAACTTTGAAATTTTCCTATTTAATATAAAAATGTCAGCCGCAAAAACACTGAGTATCATTTAAGGGAACAATTACTTAAAAAGATTTAAATAATATTCAAATGTAACTTTTTAAAGGTAGGCTACAGAACCAAGAGGGAAAAGTTCCATTTTAGAGGTATAAATGTGTAAACATGGTTCTCTAGGTAAAGAAAATACTTCCAAAGAATTAAATAATCTAGCAAAATCTGTGTGTATTTGTGTGTGTGCATGCACACACATGCACGCACATAAGTATACTACTACTGGGGTTTGACTCAGATCCTTAGCTTTTGTAGCTCAGGGATGGTGTCCTATTCATTTGTGCCACAGCTCCTCTTCTGGGTCTTCGCTGCTCAGTTGGAGACAAGAATATCACAGCCAGGTACCGGTGGCTCATGCCTGTGATCCTAGCTACTAAGAAAGCTAAGATCTGAAGATCATGGCTTAAACCCAGCCTGCGCAGGAAAGTCTGAGATACTTATCTCCAATTAACCACCAGAAAGCCAGAAATGGGCGCTGTGGCTCAAGTAAAAGAGCACTCACCTTGAGCTGAAGAGCTCAGGGGCAGTACCCAGGCCGAGTTCAAACCCCACAACTGACCCAAAAAAAAAAAAAAAAGAATATTACATACTTTTCTATCTGGACTGGCTTTAAAGCAAAGCCTTTTGAGTAACTAAGATAACAGGTGTGACCCACTAGCACCCAGCTCTGACAATATCTTTAATACAGCTACAGCAAATAGAACTGACTAGAAAGCCAGGAGCCTGCTCCTCTAGTCAAGATTCAGTCATCAATTGTACTTGGCTACTGAAGAATCTTATGGTATATTCTACTTTCTCAGTGCAACTATTTTACACCTATGGAGTCTCCCAGACTTTACTGGCTAGGCTGGCTTTGAACCAACTCATATCTGGAGACCAGGAGAGCCTCAGACCTCAGATCAGAAACAGATCTGAGGATCTCAGTTCAAAGCCAACCCTGGAAGGAAAGTCCATTAGACTCTTATCTTTAGTGAATCATCAAAAAGCCAGAAGTAGAGCTATGACTCAAGTCACAGCCTTGAGCAAAAATTTAAGAGCAGAAAGCCCTGAATAATAATAATAATAATAAACATTCAAATTTCAAAACAAGGGAGAGATGAGAGCTTCATATTCTAAAGGCTTGGAGCTGAGTTAATAGCTGGTTTTTCAAATGCAAGACCCTGACTGTTAATCTTGTCAACTTGATTGGATTTTAAGAGACCTAGGAGATTAGTCGGGTACCCACCTGTCCTTGAAGGTGTTTTTAGAGATGGCTAGATCTTGAGAGCTCTGATCTAATGTTTAGATATAAATAACAGATATCTAAATGGATTTAGTCTGTTGATGCATTTAAAACTTAGACAATTGAGAGGTGGCAGAACTGTGGAAGGGGGGACCTGGCTGGAGGAAGCAAATAGCCAAGGGCCAGCCTTTGGAAGATGTCTTGATCTTTTCCTGTTATGTCTCTGCTTCCTAGCAGCCTGGAGGTGAGCAGCTTTCTCCACTATACCCTTTCTCCATGATGTTTCTTCTTGGCCCCAGGTAATCATGGATAGACACCCCTTAAACTGTGACTGGAATGAGTATTTCCTCTCTTAGATTATTTCTGTATTTGTCCTAGCTACAAAATTTGGCTCACACAGAGCTTGCTTTTCAGTGAGAAAAGGAGAAGGCCTTGTCTTTCTTCTGATGGACTAATAGACTAAATGAGAGAGGGGGGAAAATCTCATATTAAATGAATCTAATATTTTTATGGTATGTTTTAGGGTAATTGTCCAAAATTAATGGGTTGAGGATGTATTATCCACAGATTGAGACCTTCTTTAATTAGCCAGACTTGCATACCCCAATGCGTGACCCATTCTCCAAAGCTCACCTCAGCAGTGTAAATGTAGATGGTGTTGAAGTTTGCTGCTACCAGGGCCCTCAGCATAAAGAGGAAGCCAATGAGACCGGCACTAAAGAACAGGAAGCAGGGGAAAGTCATTCAAGGTCACGTGGACTGTCTTACAGGGTCACTGTAGACGCTACAACACAGACACACAGAACCACAGGCAGGAGCTGCTTCTCAACTGGCCAGATTATGAATTCTAAAGCCAACTTCCTCCCATTCCCCCAGATAAGCATATGACCTGAAAAATGATGCAGTTAGCACAATACATAATCAGCACAAGAGACTGCTCTCAGCACACCCTCACCCCAGGATGCTAAAGTGCCTTCTCTAAAGTACCCTACAATTTGCATGCACCCTACACACATCATCTCATATATTTTAAATCTCTAGCTTACTTGGTAAACAGTTGTTGCTCTGGTATTGTCCAAAAAACAATAACATTGAGGGGGGGGAGTCTGCATAGTTTCAGTGCAAAAGTAAATGTTTGATTTTTTCTAATATTTTCAACCAGTCGTTAGTTGTTTGAATCTGTGGATATAGAACCCACAGATGCAGAGGGCTGACCATATTACAGTTCGGGCCACCGTAGGATTACAAATTAGGGATGAAGGGAATTCCAGGTGACCGACAGATTGTACAGTCCACTGAACTATCGCATTCATCTAGATAATTTGGTAAATACTAGGATTGTTCTCCAGTGCTCCAGGAAGCTTTGTATAAACCTTCTAAATGCTTTGGTAGGGAATTATAATAAGGACTCCACCACTGCACCCATATCCAATGGTAGCTGAAGGAGGCATGGTGTAAAAAGGAAGTAGGTGTGGCACCAAGTAAGAGTCTTTAGAAGCAACATGCTCTCTACTGTCCCTGGAGAAAGAGACTAGTCCCAGCACCCCACTGAACTTGGGAGATCAGGAGGCCATATTGGCTAATCATTGTACTAAACTTGTTTGACGCAATCAAAGAGAAAATACCTGGAAGTACAGATATTGAGGAGAAGAAAAAATAGAGCTGTGCATCCCATGGTAATGGACAGGCTCAGCCGTCTTCCCAGGAAGTTGATACCCAGGATATTCAAAGGATTCACTAGGAAGCAAACAGCAGGGACAATGTCTAGGACCCTGTAGCACAAGTGATCTTTATCACCCTGATGGGGATGTACTGTGGTTATTTCAGAAAGAATCAACTTCCATCCCAGACTCCAGTGTCACCAAATGAGCGGCCTAGTCAATGTACTTCTCTCACATGGGGACCACAAATGACAAGCCCTAGTGTAGATAAAGGACATTTTTATGCCCATGGTGATTATTATAAACTACGTTTACTTTTAGACTAATAATGTAAATGTTTTGTGCTATTTTTCATTACATTCAAGACACCACAAGTTTCTTTCTTTGTTTCTTCTTTTTTTTTTTTTTGGTTGGTTATGGGGCTTGAACTCTGGGCCTGGGCACTATCTCTCAGTTCAAGGCTAGTGCTCTACCACTTGAGCCACAGCACCACTTCCAGTTTTCTGGTGGTTTATTGGAGATAAGAGTCTCATGGACTTTCCTGCCTGGGCTGGCTGTGAACCATGATCCTCAGATCTCAGCCTCCTGAGTAGCTAGGATTACAGGCGTGAGCCACCAGCGCCAGCTTCTTTCTTTCCTTTTTCTTTCTTTCTTTTCCTTTCTTTCTTTTCCTTTCTTTGTTTTCTCTTCTTTCTTTCTTTCTTTCTTCCTTCCCTCCTTCCTTCCCTTCTTTCTTTCTTTCTTCTGTGTCAATACTAAGGCTTAATCTCAGGGCTTTATGCTCTCATTCTCCTGATTGGCTCTTTCACTGAAGGCTGAACCACTCTACCACTTGAACCAATGTTTCCCTTCCAGCTTTTTTTGCTGGTTAATTGGAGATAAGAATATCATAGACTTTTCTCCCTGGGCTTGCTGCTTTCTCAGATCTCAGCCTCCTGAGCAGCTTGGATTATAAGAGTAAGCCAATCCAGCTCTTTTTTTCTTTCTTTCTTTTTGAGATAGTCATACCCATGTGCCCCAGGAATTTGCTATGTAGCCCTTGAACTCTCCCAGTCCTTTTGAGTGCTTGTATTACAGGTATACACCATTGTACATGGCCAAGAATTACTGATTTTAAGTTCTATCATTTTATGTCAGCAAAGACAGGAATCGTGCTGCCAACTGAAATCTAACAAATTCTAAGATACATCCAATGAACAAAAAATGTCAAGCTTAGAATTACAACATAATAAGCCAGGCGCCAGTGGCTCCACCTGTAATCCTAGCTGCTCAGGAGGCTGAGATCTGAGGATCAAGGTTCAAGGCCAGCTGCGGAAGGAAAGTCTATGACACTCTTATCTCCAATAAACCATCAGAAAACTGGAAGTGGTGCTGTGGCTCCAGCAGTAGAGGGCTAGCTTTGAGCTGAAGAGCTCAGGGACAGTGCTCAGGCCCAGAGTTCAAGCCCCATGACCGACAAAAAAAAATAATAATTACAATGTAATAGTTCAAAGCTCTCTTCCCCCCAGAGTATTCTTTCCTACCCCAACCCAAGACCCCAGCATGATTTAAGAATGTGTGCCAGGCACCAGTGGCTCACACCTGTAATCCTAGCTACTCAGGAAGCTGAGATCTGAGCCAGCCTAGAAAGAAAAGTCCCCAAGAGACTCTTATCTCCAATTAACCTTTCAAAACCCGGAAGTAAAACTTGGATCAATTGGTAGAGTGCTAGTCTTGAACATAAAGAGGCTCAAGAACAGCACGTAGGCCCTGAGTTCAAGCCCCACAACTGACCCCCCCCCCCCAAAATGTGTACAGTTCTTCTAAGGAGGAGCTTTGCCCCAGGGTCACTCTTCCAGCCTGAGACTCTGAGTAGCAGTTCCCTACCTAAAACAGAGCGGCCCCCACCCCAATACACAGAGGGACATTTACGAGCAATTTCTCCAAGAGTACTGATGATCATGGTTCGGTAGTCGGAGGGGGCGAACAGGTGACAGTGGCAAGGGCTGTGGCTCTCTGCTGAGTCCCCCTCAGTCACCACCACCGGCGACTGTGACTCTGCCTTGGAACCACAGACCAGGTCCCGCTCCAGCAGCTCAGCACTGGCCAGGATAACACCATAGTAGGCAAAAGAGATCCCCAGCCTGGAAGTGAGAAAAGAGCATGTGAGCAAAAGCTTGTAGCCAACTGAAGAACAGAAAGAGCCCAGAGGGGCGGGGCGACAAACAGGAAGGCACAGCCCAGAAAAGGCAGCTGGCCAATCATCCACAGCCTCCATGCAAATGTCTTTAGGGAACACAACAGTGTGTATTTCTATTGGATGAAAACTTAGAATTCCTAAGATATAGGGTAGGTACATTGTCAACTGTGGTACTGCTGGACAGTTTCCCAGAGAGATGGGGCTCGTTTAAGCAAATGTGAGCATCCCAGGTGCTTTATGTCTTTCCCAGCATTTGCTATAGTCAGACATTTTCCTCATAGCTATTTCTGGACACTGGAGGATTTGTCATGGTATCTTGTTGGTTTATGTGGGTGTTTGTTTTGGTGGTACTGGGAATTGAGCTCAGGGCCTCGCACTAATCAGGTTGGCCCACTTGAACAACCCCTCCAGCCCAGTTTTTTGTTTTGTTTTGTTTGACAACAGCTCCACTTCTGACTTTTTTGGTGCTTAGAGCCTCAATGAGTTTCCTGCCCAGGCTGGCTTCAAACTATGATCCTCAGATCTCAGCCTCCTGAGTAGCTAGGATTACAGGCGTGAGCCACCAGTACTCAGCAGCCCAGTATTTTTTAAAATATAACTTTATTAAGGTGTTGTACAGAGAAGTTACTATTTTATAAGTCAGGTAATGAGTACATTTCCTTTTATCCCCCCCAGTGTCACCCCGTTTTTTGCTCCGTTTCCCCTTCCCACCTTTGTCTACAAGTTATATAGGCCATTTTTCCACACAGTGTATACATACATGATTGCATTTGTTCACCTTCCTCCCTCCCATTCTGTGCCCCCCCACTTTGCCCCCACTTAAAAAAATAACTCTAAAGCAAAAACAGATACTACCAACACAAACAACAGCAACAATAACAACACCAGCCCAGTTTTTTGCTGGTTATTTCGGAGACAAGAGTCTCTTGGATTTTTCTGCATGTGCTGGTTTTGAAACCTAGTTCTCCAGATCTTAATCTCCTGATTAGCTAGGATTATAGGCATGAGTCACTGGTGTTTAATTCTTGTTGGGTATTGATTTGAATTTTCCCAGAGACTTTAATACTGTCTTTTGATATGTTTATCTAGTTTATTGGGCACGTTTATCTGATTTACAATTTTAGTGACATGCCTATTCAAGTCTCTTGCTTGATTTTAAACTGAGTTGTATATACCTTGCTGGGAAAAATTACATATATAACATTTGTTTATTATAATATACAATATAATTTATGATATATAGTATATATTGTTTATATATTATGCAATGTTATATACTATTATTACATAATATATAGTCATTATAATATATAATGTGGTATATGATATATAATATAATGCATAATATATAATGTCATATATTATGCATATAAAATTTTTCCTTCCAAAACATTTGTTAAATATATATTGCAAACTTACCAGTTAGTAGGCAAGCTTGAACATTTCTTAGCATGGTTTATGGCGCAGAGTTGATCATTGAGTGTAGTAAAAGTGATCTGTTTACTCCCCCTCCTTTTTTATGCTGGTACTGGGGCTTGAACTCCTGGCCTCATACTCTTGTTCAGCTTTTTCACCCAAAGGTGGCACTCTACACTTGAGCCACACCTCCATGGACTTTCTTTCCCATGCTGGCTTCGAATCTAGATCCTCACATCTCAGCCTCTTGAGTAGCTAGGACTACAGGCATGAGCCACCAGCACCCAGACTGAAGTAATCGTGTGCTTACCATATGACCCAGATCTGTAATGTGGTCCGTAGATACTTGGCATCCAGAAGGTCTGCAAACCTTCCTCTTTTATCCTGGGTCATGGAAAGGGGAAAACAGTAGATATACAGCAATTAACTGATGAGGTTTATTAACTAAATAAACAAAACTATCATATTAGGCCAACAATAAATATTATGTGTATATAGTATATATTATATATTATGTATATAGAGTATATAATATATACTATGTGTCCATTGTATATATCATACAATATTATATCATATAATTTTATAATAATTTATATATAACATATAATGCATAGCATACTTATGCATAATACATAGACCTACTTATCCCTTTTTTAACAATTAGAAATTCTATATTTTTGGGGGGGGGGGGCTCTGGTCATGGGGCCTGAACTCTGGGGTTGGGCGCTGTCCCTCAGCTTTTCAGCTCAAGGCTAGCGCTCTTGAGCCATAGCGCCACTTCCAGCTTTTTCTTTTTGCTTATGTGGGTGGTGCTGAGGAATCGAACCCAGGGCCTCATGCATGCAAGGCAAGTACTCTACCCCTGAGCCCCCTTCCCAGCCCCTAGAAATTCTATCTTTAACATATAATAAATTCTTATATGTAATCAAATACATTATTATAACAAAAGATCATTATTTTAAAAACTTCAAGCATATAACAAGTGGATTATCCAATGAAAGTGCATCAATAGGACTAGTTAGCTATTTGGATAAGACAAACTTAGATCCCTATCATGTGTCTTATTCTAATATCTAACAGTTGAATATTGAGAATGAAATCAAGTTAACCAAACAAAAGAAGAAAATGGAAAAAATCAGTAGTGATAATAACAAAGCTTAGGAACTAATAATAAAGCCAGCTTATGATACTGGCTTTTAGATAATAACTTATTTAGGAAAAAATTACAAACAAAGTAAACCTAAAACATTAGATAAAAGTGATTTTTAAAATGGGCATTGGCAAGATAATATTTAAGTTCACTATACTGATCAGGAGGAACTAAAGTTACCTGGGGTTTGAGCTCAGAGCCTAGGCACTATTCCTGATCTTTTGTGGTCAAGGCTAGTGTTCTACCCTTGAGCCACAACTCCATTTCTGTCTTTTTGCTGTTTAATTGGAGACAAGAGTCTCGTGGAGGTTCCTGCCCAGGCTGGTAATGAAACACAATCCTCAAATCTCAGTCTCCTGATTAGCTAGAAATATAGGAGTGTACCACTAACACACAGAAACATTTGATAGTTCAATCAGCATTTTCAATACTTAATAGTAACATCTAAAATAAAAGGATAAGCCAATAAAAAAGAAGGAAAGCAAACTCGATCAAATGGAAGGAAAAAGAAAAGAAAACTCAGTTAAAACGCATGAGAATTCCAGACATACCAGTAAACACAGAAGATATAAATTGACCAAAATCCTTATTAAAAGACACAGAACATCAAATGGAACACAAACTACAAATTTATAAGAAATCAATCTGAAACAAATCAATGCAGAAAAGTCTGGCTGGAAAAAGAGAAACAAGGAAAGTACTAAAAACAAGACTGGTTTAATGTATAAATGAGAGGATGGAGAATTCAAAGCTCAAAGATAAGAGACTCTCCTTTTATCTGATGCATAATGATTTTTGGTCAATGTGTGTGCTTAAAAAGAATATAGAGAAGGCAAGAGACAACCCACAGAATGGGAGAAAGTCCTCATCAGCTAAATGATTGATATCCAAAATATACAGAGTCCAAAAAATTAAGCAACAGAAACTCCAATTAATAAGCGGACAAATAAGTTTGAATAGAAGTTCTTAGCAGAGACACAATTAGTAATAGATACATGAAGAAATGTCATACATGTTGGTTTTTGTTTTGTTTTGTTTTTGGCTCTGGTCGTGGGGCCTGAACTCTGGGCCTGGGCGCTGTCCCTCAGCAATTCAGCTCAAGGCTAGCACTCTACCCCTTGAGCCACAGCGCCACTTCCGGCTTTTTTCTTTTTGCTTATGTGGTACTGAGGAATTGAACCCAGGGTCTCAGGCATGCAAGGCAAGCACTCTACCACTGAGTCACCTTCCCAGCCCTGTTATACATGTTTAGTTATAAAGGAAATGCAAATCACCTACATTAAGATTCCAACTTATGTCAGGCACAGTGGCTCACATCTGTAATCCTAGCTGAGATCTGAGGATCATGGTTCAAAGCCAGCCTGGGCAAGAAAATCTGTGAGACTTATCTCCAATTAACCAGAAAACTGGAAGTGGTGCTGTGGCTCAAGTGGTAGAGCACTAGCCTTGAGCTGAAGAGCTGAAGGACAGCGCTCAGGCCCAGAGTTCAAGCCCAATGACTGACCAAAAAAAAAAAAAAAGAAGAAGAAGATTCTAACTCACTCCCAGGCAGAATGGCCATCATCAAGAAATCAGACAACAAATGCTGGCTGGCAGGGACATGGGAAGAGGAAAACCTTCTACAGTGCTGGCGGGGGGGGGGGGGGTTAAACTAGTACAACAACTATAGAAATCAGTCTAGAGGTTCCTCAAAGGACTGAATATAGACCTCCCTATCACCCTACCTTTCCACTACTGGCCATGTATCAGAAGGAGAGTCAATCAATATGCCAGAAAGACACCTATGTCTTTTGTACATCTGTCTATTGTATCACTGTTCACAGCAGCCAAATGATAGAATCAGAAAAGGTACCCAACAGCCAATAGGTGGAATATATATATATATATATACATACATGCATACATGTATATATCTACATATGGATATACATATATACATATACTAACATAAAGAAAAATATCTACCTCCATCTATGTATACATATATACATGAATACATGAATACATACATACATACATTCACAGCAAAATCAAACCCATCCATCACTGTTCGAAAAGGAGGAGGGAAAAGAATGGGCATATAATGGAAGGGATGAACTTGTTCAAAGTACACCATATGCACGTATGCAATTATCACAACGAAACTCCCTTACAATCCTGAAGTATGCTAACTCAGAAACAAAATACTTTTTAATGCTGTAGAGTAACTCAGCAGAGCTACGGAACTGCAGCCAGGATGAAACGACATCAGGTCCCACCTCTACTCTGATCCACCGTCCTGCCTCCAGGCCTAGACTGCAAACTAGTCCCTTCCCTCTGGCCTTGCACAACTACAGACTTCCCAAGGCCCGTGGTGGGGGTGGAAGAAAGAGGTGGAGTGTGAACTCACCAGAATGGGCTCCACCAGCCTCCCCTCTGGCATGGCGGAGCGGTTCATCTTGGCGATGCCCTCCAGAGTGGCCAGTGCCACCTCCGTGTTCCCGGTGGAGACATTGAAGCGGGCAGACTCGGGAATAAACTAAGCACCAATATGAAAGAACATCAGGACCACAACTGCTGGATACCCAGGGCACCACTGCCAACCATACCATCCATGCCAGCCCCACACTCCGGGGGGGGGGGGAGGGGGACCATAGGTCAAAGGCACAGCAAGCCTTCTCAGCAAGCTCTCTGCTGGACCCAAAGTTGATCTGGAAAATGAGTCTCTAGAGAGGGAAATCCAGGGGAACTGAGACACTGGGGGAAAAAAAAACCAAAGCATGAAACTCAAATGTCTGCAATTATTTCGACTTGAAATACTCCATCGATTATACAATTAGCATTTCAGGTTCTAGGCTTGAAAACAACCCCCTGAGAAGAGATCCTAGGCCTGTATTGGGTCCTAAGTCCAAGAGAATCCAATGATGAGCTAAGCTTGAGAAGAAAGCCATCGTGTCTTAGTCTACATGGTAGAGAGAGTCAAGCCACTCACTTGAGCAGCAGCTCACTTGGCCACTGGTCCCAGAGCACACTGGGCGTGGCTCTGAGCCACAAAAACACTGGCCACTGAGGCCCATTTAAGAACAAGGGGCCAGGCTCTCAGGAGGCTGAGACCTGAGGATTGGCTTTCTAAGCCAGGCAAGAAAATCCAAGAGATTCTTATCCGCAATTAACCACCAAAAACCCAGGAGTGGAAATCTGGCTAAAGGGTAGATCTCCAGCCTTGACCAAAAAAACTAGGGGACAGTTCCCAAGCTCTGAGTTCAAGCCCTAGAACCAGCACCAGAAAAAAATAAACAGAATCTGTGCTGCACCAAGACCAGTAGTCCATCTGGAAGGGCGCACGGGACTCAACCATGAGCGCTTGCTCACCTTGAAGGCCAGGATGAGGATGATGCCAGGGATGGAGGCAATGCGGATGAGCCAGCGCCACCCAATGGTGGGGATGACCACAGAGGCCAGGCCAATGATGAGCAAGGAGCCTGCAAGCCAGAAAACCTGGGGAAAGAGACACACAAGATTGCAAGGTCTCCTATGTCATGTGCTCAGCATTTCACATCACACGCGGGGTAGCAGGTGTCTTTGAGGAGCTACAGTCAGAGTCCTACTCTGGCACTACCGCTGCTATCTTGGATGTATCAGACACATTGCTTCTGTGTGGCTCAATTGGTCTTCTGTAAATTGTTTTCCCTGCCTTAGCTACGGAGACAATCAGTAGGATCACCCGACTTTTAAAAGTTTGACCCACTAGGGAGTATTAACCATTATTCCTTTTTGTTGACTAGATAGCAGACTCCCTGGATCCCCATATGAAGGAAGAAGGCCGTGAGCTCTTCTCCTCGCTCTTGCCATCTGGGTGCTATTCTCAGAAGGCGCCAATACTACCCCTTTCTTCTGCAGCTTTCTAAAGGTTTTCTAAAGATCCAAGCTCATAAGGACGCATTTTGTTCTTTGTTTCATAAACGGTGTTGTAGTATGCACAGTACTCCACACTTGGATTTTGTTGTTTTTACAAATATATCTTAGATTTTTTTTTTTTTGCATCTGTCCTGGTGTTTGAACTCAGGGTCTGAGTGCCGTCCCTGAGCTTTTTTGCTCAAGGCTAGTCCTCTGCCACTTGAGACATACCTCTACTTCTGGCTTTTTGTTGGTTAACTAGAAATCAGAGTTTCACGGACTTTCCTGCCTGGGCTGGCTTTGAACCATGATCCTCAGATCTCAGGATTACAGTCATGAGCCACTGGCACTCAGCCACTAGAGGTCTTTATTTGTTTTTTTGTTGTTGTTTGTTTGTTTTTGTCAGTCGTGGGGCTTGAACTCTGAGCCTGAGCGCTGTCCCTGAGCTCTTCAGCTCAAAGCAAGCACTCTACCACTTGAGCCACAGTGCCACTTCCGGTTTTCTGGAGGTTTATTGGAGATAAGAGTCTCAAGGGTCTTCTTGCCCCAGCTGGCTTTGAACCATGATCCTCAGATCTCAGCCTCCTGAGTAACTAGGATTAAAGACGTGAGCCACCAGCACCCCAACTAGATATAATTTTATATCAACAAATAACAGAACTGCGACCAGGCCTCACTGGTTAGGAATTCAAATAACTCCCAGCATTAGCTCAAGAATTTCTCTCATCTGAAAAGGAGGAGTGTGTGTTAATACCACTTGATCTCATGGAGCAGGAAGAAGATAACATTAGAAGATTCTTAGGGGGACCAAAAAAGGGATGACTATCAAAAATAAACGTGATTAGGGTTATTAAAAAAAAAGGATAATGGGATGGAAAGTGACTTGGGGAACGGGGAAGGACTTTCTGCAGAGGCCTCACAGATGACCAGTGCAGTAGTCAAAGTAACTAGATAAGATTTCTCTAGAAAAATGGAGTTTAAAAAAAAAAATGAGAGCTGGGCATCGGTGGCTCATGCCTGTAATCCTAGCTACTCAGGAGGCTGAGAACTGAGGATCACAGTTCAAAGCCAGCCCAGGCAGGAAACTCTGTGAGACTCTTATCTCCAATAAACCATAAGAAAACCAGAAGTGGTGCTGTGGTAGAGCGCTAGCCTTGAGCTAAAGAGCGCAGGGACAGCGCCCAAGCCCAGAGTTCAAGCCCCACGACTGACAAAAAAGAAAAAAAGAGGGGAAGTTGCCTTCTAGAGTTGTGTGCTGGTCAGTGTGGCCTTCATAAGACTCCACCATGGCGTACCATGGCCTCGGCCAAAAAGTGCAAAAGGTGATGGTGCCGCCCATCAGCCTCATCTTCAGGAATTAGAAAATAGCTCTCAAATTCAGATGTGGCTCTGCGAGCAAGAGAATATGCAGATAGAGGGCTGTGTCGTTGATTTGGTTGGATGCGTGAACCTTGTGTTAGCCCACGCAGAAGAAATTCATTCTAAACCAAAGCCAAGAAAACAACTGGGTCGGATCGTGCTAAAAGGAAATAACAGCACTGCACTACAAAGTGTCTCCAACTAGAAATGATCCTGCGGTGTGAAGTCATTAAGACTCTTACACAGTTTGTGAGTGTGTGTGTGTGTGTGTGTGTGTGTGTTCTTGCTGTGAATTTAAGAAAACATCTGTTCATATTGTTTGATGAACCCTGCTGTTGAGCTGTGGTATGCACCCCATTCTGATGACCTCGGTATTATAATCAATAAATGCCATGGACTCATTTTGTTGTTGTTGTTTTTAAAATCAGTTTTCAAACTGATGGAGGTGACAGTTTTGAGGAATGGCAACAAGGTTTGCTGTTGGTCACTTGGGTCGAGGGTCCCTCAGTAGGGGAGGAGTTAGAAGTCTGGTGATTGGGTGGTGATGAGGGAAAGGGGGAACCACCATGGCTGCCGAGTTTGCGGCTCTGCTGATGGAGAAGCTACTGTTTGCTATTGCCTGAGAATAGGAAGACAGAAATAAAAGGTTCCAGGGGGCAAAGGAGAGATCTGTTCTGAGGAGGTTGTATCTGAGGAACTTGTAAGGTGTTTGGATAACTGGTCACCCGGTCTAATGTTCAGGGAGGTGTTCCTTGGCTATTCCTCCAGGTGTTTAGTGATAACACAGATAGCATCAGCCTTCCACATCGATGGGCACCACAAATCTGTCTGTTCTGAACACACGCAGATTTTTTCCTTGTCAGTGTTCCCTAAGTAATGCAGTAAAGCGACTATACAGTTATCAGCAGTCATCGGAAGCAAGTCATCTAGAGATGATTTAAAGTATAAACATTGTGTGTGGGGGGGGGGGAAGGGATGGGAAGGGGAAACAAAGGAGGCAACAATTCTTGATAAGAAATGCACTCATTACCTGCACTAGCCTTGAGCTGAAGAGCTGAGGCACAGTGCCCAGGCCCAGAGTTCAGGCCCCACGTCCTCCCCTCCCCCCCAAAAAAGTGTACAATCCAAACATGACATAGTCAGTCTGTGCATTCATTGTAACAAGGTCAGAGAAGAAAGGAGGGAGGGGTGTAGAGACAACATCTAATGTTCAGATTGTTTTTCTTTTCCCCTATCTTTCCTTCCTTCCCTCTCTCTTTCATCCCTTCCTTCTCTCCATCTCTCCCTCTTTCCCTTCATTCCTTTCCTCCCATCTTTTACTCTCACCCTTCTTCTCTTACTCCTTTTATTCTTTTACTTCCTTTCTTTCCCTTTCTTCCTTCTTTCCTTCACTCTCTTTCTTCCCTTTTCTCTTCTTTTTTCCCCCGGTTATAGGGCACAAACTTTGGGCCTGGGCGCTGTCCCTCAGCTCTTCAGCTCAAGGCTAGCACTCTACCACTGGAGCTACAGCACCACTTCGGGCTTGTTTTCTGCTTATGTGGTGCTGAGGAATCGAACCCAGGCCTCATGCATGCAAAGCAAGCAGCATTCTTCCACTGAGCCAACTTCCCAGCCCTCTTCCTTTTTTTCATTGTTGTAGTTGCCTGAACTCAGTGTCAATTCTGCTGCTTCACTAGCTGCCACATACATAATGCTTCAGAAAGAAGAGCCGTCTCACTCCTAGACCTGCAAAAGATCAGGTTGGGGATACTGAGACCATGGGGAACAGGACAGGGTATCTACCTCAAATCAGATACACAACCTCACATCAAAAGCCAGCCAGAGCTGAGCAGGGCCAGAAGCACTGTCGAAAACTCAGCTGTGAAGAGACAACTATGTCACCTCCCCTCAGGCTGGCCACTGATGAGCTTCCAGACATCAGCATCCTTGGAAGGAGGCAGAAGTCTCAGGGAGGACAGGAAGTCCCTCCCACATGGCTTCCAGCGAATCAGCCATTAGGACATCTCCTGGGAACTGAGGAAGATGGTCCCATATTCAAATAAAGTCCTGGGTTCAGAAAACCTCGGGATTGGATCTCTGGCTTCAAACATTCCCAATGGTTTTTCAGGTGGTTCCAGCTAACAGAAAATGAACTACCAAAAGACCAATCAACTGGCCAGAAGGAAAACCATGAGCGTCATACCCTTCTGCAGGTGGAAATCGGGGTGGAATTCCCACTTTTCCTTACCTGAGACAAGGGCAGCATGTAGCCTCTATATTTGGTGGGTAAAAATTCAGTCTTTATGATTAACCTAAAGAGGAAAGGGGGAAACACAGTCATTTTACCTTTGTAAGACCAAATGATGTTTCTTTGAGCAATCATACTTATCTGGTCACTGGGATAAAGAATTCAAAACACAGCTGGGCACTGACAGCTCACGCCTATAATCCTGGCTACTCAGGAGACTGAGATCTGAGGATCATAGTTCAAAGCCAGCCCAGGCAGGAAGGTCCATGAGACTCTTATCTCTAATAGACTACTAAGAAAAAGCCAGAAGTGGTGCCATAACTCAAGTAGTAGAGCACTAGCCTTGAACACCAAAGCTCAGGGACAGTGCCCAGGCGCTTAGTTCAAGCCCCGGGACCAGCAAAAGAAGAAAGAAGTAAACACATAAAAGTTTGTTGTATATTAAAATATAATTATTATAGTGAAACAAAGGAGGAGGCTACAATGCTTGATAAGAAATGTACTCATTATCTTGTCCATGTAATTGTAATCCCTCTGTACAGTATTTTCATAATATATATATATATATATATATATATATATATATAATTATTATAGCTAATGTCAACCTAAGAGAAATAATTTTCTTTGTTACTATCTTATTTTGAAACTTATTTTAAAGGTTTTATCACTTAGGAAATAATCACTTTATCTGTTCTGCCTCCTCCCAACAAAAAACAGGTAAACTGTTTCCCAAGCCTGATTTCCCATTTTCTAAAATATACTGGGGAAATTAAAATACACTCAGGAGAAGGTAAATAATTTTCACAACAAATCAGTCAACGCACAGGTACTTTAAGTACACGTTGATTTTGTGAAATATATAGAAAAAAATGGAAGCTGGGCACTGGTGGCTCACGCCTGTAATCCTATCTACTCAGAAGACTGAGAAAAATGAGAGTGGTGCTGTGGCTCAAGTGGTAGAGCGCCAGCCTTGAGCTGAAGAGCTGAGGGACAGCGCCCAGGCCCAGAGTCTAAGCCCCACAACCAACAAGCAACAACAACAGAAAAAAATGGAATTATATCCCACCCATTTTCTAATTGTTTTTCACGGGTGCTATTATCAGTCAGGATTGGGATTTTTCACAAAGTTATTTAACTGTTTTCTAAGGAATGTTTTAAATTCTACTTAGTTTCTTCTCCATTAGGGCTCAAAGTGCTTAGCTTGTGCCACAGGGAAAAATAATTATTTCTCCAACACATTAAGGTACTAATTAGATGTGTTCACGTCTCCCATTCTATTTTAATGATAACTTGCTCCAAAGCACCCAGGAAAAGATGCCTGAGAGGCCCTGCAGAGTCAAGGAGGGTCCCCCAAACCAGAACAGTTAGCATAACAACGTCACACCCAAACACAAAAAGACCCAAGCACAGGACACACGAGAGGCCTTGTGTCCACTTCACTACACCTGACCCGGCTTTGCAGGGCACTGACATTTTACCATGGCCATTCCTAATGTTTCTCGTGCTTATGGCCAAACAAAATTCTTGTAAGAAATTAATCAATTATAGCCAGGCACCAGGGGCTCACTCCTGGAATCCTAGCTACTCAAGAGACTTAGATCTGAGAATCAAGGTTCGAAGCCAGGCAGGATCGTCTGAGATTCTTATTTGCAATTAACTAGAAATAGAGCTCTGGCTCAAGTAGTAGAATACCAACCTTGAGCAAAAACCGTAAACAGAGGTCAAGCCCCAGTACTAGCACAGGGGAAAAAAATGAATAAATCCTGTTTAGATTAACCCTTTTCTTTTCCTTTCTTTTCTTCTTTCTCATTCTTTCTTTTTCGTTGGCTTGGTGCTCGGGACCAATCCAAGCCCTTGTACATTCTTGACAAGAAACATCAGCTACAGGTTACCTAATATAGAACGTTTTAGTACTATTTACTCTAGAAAAAAATAATCCTGGTCTAAAAAAATGACTGATGATTCACACCTCTAGTCCTAGCCACTGAGGGACAGGGTAGATATTGGGGGGATCGTGGTTAGGTTCCAGGCCAGCACAGCTAACAAGTGTCCAAGATCCCTTCATCTCAACCAATGAAAAGTTGAGCTTGCTCTACACAGGAGGGCACACTGGGTAGATGCAGTGGTGCACAGGCATAAGTGTGCGTGGGTGTCCGTTTCTCTCCCAGAGCCTCTGGGGATGTCTTTACCCTTGTGAGTGGCCAGACACGCCACAGCCCACCATGGTCCGCAGAAAGACAAACCAGATGTACGAGGGAGAGAAAGAGGTCAGCAAGGAGAAATAGGCTCCCCACAGGAACGAGATGAGCAAAATCTGAAGCGACAAAAAAGAGCTTGTTAACGAGACAGGCCTCCGTGTGGGCAGAGGGCAGTGCCCCCTCTGAGGGCAATGCTTCCTTCCGACCCCAGCGTTTTCTGCTACGAGGAACTGTGGCTGGCCATCACTGGTCAGCCATGGCACGCACACAGAATGAAAGTGTCCTCATTCTTCTCTCATTGCTGGGCCCTGGGCCTTCCAAGTTCAGATAACTTTTTAACCCACAAACACCTTTTAATCTTCACAATGATAGTCATCGTTATCTTAATCTACGTTGCTTATGAACTCTAGGACCTTTAACAATAAAACTACTTTACAGATTGGGTGATATGTACACGTCTTTCCTTTTGCTTGGTATCAGCTGTTCCCTCTTTCCCTCTCCTTCCTTCCCTCCCATCACCTCCCTTGAGTCAGATAACTTTTCAAAAGTGATCTGGCATTTCAGAAACCAAAAGCAATTCAAGTGGCAGAGCGCCTGACTCGGGGGTGCCCTGAGTTCAGTCTCCAGTAACACACACATGCACATGTGCATGCACATGCACACACATGCACATGTATGCACACACACATACACACATGCCTACCTCCTCATGGGTTGGTTAGAAGCCCAAGGAAACACTATGTGGGAAGATCATAGGGAAAATGTAAAATATTTGCTTTTTCTCTAATTATAAGAATGATACGGGTTCAAAATACAAAATAAAGAAGAAAAAGAATTTTATAATTGAGGGGATGTAACTTATTGGCAGAACATATGCAAAATCCTGAATTCAATCCCAGAAATGAATGAATAGATGATAGATAGATAGAGAGATAGACAGACAGACAGATAGGCTTTTAACAAATTATGTAAGAAATTAATTATAACGGCACTGGTAGCTCATGCTTGTAATTCTAGCTACTCAGGAGGCTGAGATCTGAGGCTCATACTTCAAAGCCAGTCAAAGCAGAAAAGTCCACGAGACTCTTATTTCCAATTAGCCAGCAAAAAAAAACCAGATTGGAGCTATTGCACTAACCTAGAGCACCAGTCCTGCATGAAAAAAACTAAGGTAGAATGCCCTGGCTCTGAGTTCAAGCCCCAGTTTTGGCATAAACAAACAAATCTATTGCCACTTTTGAAGCAGAGGTAAGGAGGATTATGAATTCCAGGTCAATCACAGCCCAGGTCAAAATGGGCTACATAGGGAGATCCTGTCTCAAAATAAAATAAAATGGGATAACATAAGAGAGAGGAAAAGAGAAAGAGAGAGAAGAGACCAGAGTTTGTCATCAGAATTTGTCATTTGTGTCTTGATGCTTCCTCTGAATCAGTATGCCAGCTTCAGCTTCGTGAGGACAGGTGTGGAGACAGAGTCTTGGGAAGGGAGGAGAAATCAAGAAGCCACGCCTGGAGTTCAGGATGCACGGTAGCAGGGGAGTTCCTGCCGCGTCTGTCATGAGCTTGCTAGAACTTGCCACTGAAGAGAAGCAGAGTGGGATTGTCTCAGAGGACTCCCCCCTCCCCCGGGAGCCCGCACCTACCTTTCTGCGCCCGTATCTGTCAGCCAGGAGGCCAAAGAGGATGCTGGCAACCATGTAGCCAAAAAACACCATCTAGATGCAGAGTAAGAGCAACAGGGTGGTGAGGAGACCGTTTGCCACAGGTCCATTCTTGAATTTAGTATCCAGCCATCTTGACCAGACAGCAAGTGAGTGAGGAGTGGAAGTTTCCCAGAGCCCTCTCCCCGGCCTGCCGTCACAGGGGCCAGCCCTGTGACCCAAGCTTCCCCTGGTTTCCTCCAGGACGCCAGGACTCACCGTGGTGACAAGTGCCACCTGCCAGTTCTCCAGCTGCCATTCACAGCGGATGACGGGAGACACCACGGCGATTAGCATGATCTCCATGGCTTCCACAACCTTAAAGAGAAGCGGGGAGCCACGCTGGCTCCAGGTGCCGACTTGACGTCACCTCCCCTCCAAGTCCTGATCTCCCTCCCCTTCCCCAGTCACCTACCGACGTGGATGATGAAACAGAGCCACTGCCCTGCTAGTTGGATGATGAACTACTGTAGTAGAGCAGGGAGTGGTGGTACATGCCTGTAATCCCAGCACTTGGGAGGCTGAGGCAGGAGAATCAGAAGTGTAAGGAGGGTCTGGATGATATAGCAAGGTCCCAAATACGTTTTGTCCATGTGTGAAAACAAAACCATAAGCCGTGTTGAGACTGGCTTGAGAGGGAAGAGGGGGGAATGAGGGAGAGTGATGGAGGAGGGGAATCTGATCAAGGTATATCACATGCACAATTAATTGCTGGTTAATTGGAGGTAATCTCACCAACTTTTCCTTCCAGGCTGGCTTCAAACAGCAATCCTCAGATCTCAGCCTCTTGAGTAACTAGCATTACAGGCGTGGACCACTGTCACCCAGCCCTCCTGACAGTTTCTAACATGACCACCTGACAAACCGGGATTTTGGACGATGTCCCGGGTGATTTCCCTACGAGCAAGTTTGAGCATCTGGCACCATTTCCTCGAACACCTCCACCACCACCATCTTCAAATGAGTTTTGAATTTCCAGACTGCAGAGGTCCAGGCATTCATCGGCTCGGCAGCAGCCTCCTGCCCCCAGCAGGGGCGGTGGTGTTCGGATGAACCATCGCTAGGGGACTAGCTCCCTGCCACACACATCCCTCCCTCGGAATGGACAGCCTGGGGCTGTTCATCAGCTTTGGAGACTCAAAGTCTCTCCAAGACTCACTCACCCCGGTGCTGCCCATGATCAGAAACAGGGCGATGTGGAAGCGTCCGAACCCGATGGTCTCCACAGCATCTTCTACCGTGAACGTCTTTGTCTCTAAGGAGGAAGGTGAAGTCTGAGGGAGAGGGGGCCTTGGTGGGAAGGGAATCCTGGAGCATCTGCTCTCCTTCAGAGAATATTCGGGTAACTTCGAGCTCTTTCGGGGGTAAAGGAATCCGTGCTTGAGAGCGCTAGAGTCTTTGCTACAGCGGCCTCACCTTTCTGCTGGGGCTCGGGCACGCCCTGGCTCAGCTTCCTAAGGCTGATGAAGGTGACGGGCTCCGTCTGCTTGGCTGCCATCTGAATAATTCCAGTCCCACCCAGCTGCGCTGATGGACCTGAGGGAGAGAAGAAGAAAAGAACTCTAGTGATTTTTGAGTGTGTGCCACACATCACCCACGTGGCTCCGTGCAACTCCATGAGCCTTCAACCACAACGTAGGAGGGAGGAATTCCCACTCTCACATATACAGTTCCTATGGAGCTGGGCGGCTCCATTTTTTCATTCTTTCCCTACGATGTACTGTACGTGTGGCTTTGAGGAATCTGTCCTTTGTGCCCTTACAGTCCCCCCATCTCTAAAATGGGGCTGCTGTAATCACTGCATCTGACTTGACAGGAGGTAGGGCTGGGAAGGTGGCTCAGTGGTAGAGCGCTTGCCTCGCATGCATGAAGCCCTGGGTTTGATTCCTCAGCACCACATGCACAGAAAAAGCTGGAAGTGGCGCCGTGGCTCAAGTATTAGAGTGCTAACCTTGAGCAAAAGAAGATAAGGGACAGCACCCAGCCCCTGAGTTCAAGCCTCACGACCAACCAATTATTCACTAATGCAGAGAACTGTGTGAGAGCGTTGTGTTTTGCTGACCTCTTTCTTTGTGAGGAACTAGCGCAGAGTGTTAAAAAGATGGTGGAGCACAAGTTCACGGCCATGTGTCACCCGGAAGCCTTCGTGCAGCTCTCCTCTGACCTGCTAATAGACATGCTCCGCAGTGACCATTTGAATGTAGGGAGGGAAGGGACAGTTTGAGGAGCTGCTACGCTGTGGCTGGAGTACAGCAGTGAGTCAGGGTCCCAGGGCCTGTCTTCAGCCCTCAGCCACACCCAAATTGATGTGCTTCCAGCAGTAACCCAGCCAGACTGCTTTCAAGGCCTACTGCCTACTGCTAAGTCCATGTCCACGTCTCTCAGACCCGCCTCAGGATGACTAAAGAAGAGACGATGATTGCCGCCAAAATCGTTGCAGAAAACTACTGCAGTCTTGACTCTTCGGTCTGTCACCAGGCAGAAAAAGGTCACAAGCTGTGCAGTCCACCCTGCACCCTGGTCATCCATGATTCAGAACAAAACCAGCCACAGAGACACTTCCTAGAATCACACACCAAGGCTGTGAACCTCTGTCAGGCCGGCGCTGTGTCGTGTGTCCTGCGAGCTCCTAGGGAGACATCAAAGGCTGTCTCTCATGTTCCCTGATGGAAGAAGTTTCTAAGTAGCTGGAGACGTAGACAAAATGGCTCTCAACACCACCGCACCCTTCACTAGATGATCTTTGACTTTTTAACACTGTCACAAAGATTTCCAGAAGGAAAGGAGGTGAAAAATACTCAAAAATAATCTATGCAATCTTTTCTCTCAAAGAAGTACCACAAAGAAAGTTATTGTTTTCATGTAGCAGAAAAAAGCTACTGTGGGAGCCCAGGGTTTAAATGTTTGTTCTTCCAATCTCAGCCTCCCAAGTAGCTAAGATTACAGGTGTGAGCCACTGTACCCAGTCCACTTATCTATTCCTCTGTGTGTATATGTGTGCGTGCGTGCGTGCGTGTGTGTGTGTGTGTGTATACATGTATGCATGTGTGCCTATTCTAGGGCTTAAACTCAGGGCCTGGGCACTGTCCCTGAGCTTTTTTTGTTCAAGGTTGGTGCTCTACCACTTGAGCCACAGCTCCACTTCCTGCTTTTGGGTGGTTAACTAAAGATAAGAGTCCCACAGACTTTCCTGCCTGGGCTGGCTTTGAATCATGATTCTCAGCTCTCAGCCTTCTGAGTAGCTAGGATGACAAGTGTGAGCCATAGTCTCCCAGCTATTACTTTTTTTAATGAAAAAATAGCAATACAAATCATAGAAGCAAGTTTAAAACCAAACAGAAGTCTGGCCATTTAGTATTAAGGAATAAAATGATTTATTCTGGTGAGAAAATAATTTTTTAAAGCCTAGTAAGTTCATTTTGAATTCAATTGCAATTAAAATGCTTAACAATAACAGCGATGGTACTTCTCTTTAGTTAAGCAGCAGGAGTATGGCACAAGCAGGAAAGCACCAGCCTTGAGCAAAGAAAAGCCAAACAAGAGCATAAGGTCCTGAGTTCCAGCCCAGTGCCAGCATACACCAATAAAGTACCTAAATCCAGAGTCAATATGAAATCTCTTCTACCAGTCATGTTTTCTGATATCCCATCACAATCTGAACATGTTTTATGATTTTAACAACAATAAAGGTTTACGTTGGAGAGATAATAACAGTTTCCAAAGCCGGGTGCCGATGGCTCACGCCTGTAATCCTAGCTAGTCAGGAGGCTGAGATCTGAGGATCATGGTTCAAAGCCAACCCAGACAGGAAAGTCTGTAAGACTCTTAGCTCCAATAAACCACCAGAAAACCAGAAGTGGAGCTGAAGAGCTCAGGGACAATACTTAAGCCTAGAGTTCAAGCCTCATAACCAACAAAATAAATAAATGTTTCCAGCAAGTCTCATTGTCTGTATTGATCAGTAAGGAAGGCAAGGAATCTGCCATTTCCCATGGAGCAGAATGAGCTTTAGTTGGGTGTAGGCTGTGTCTGGATATGAATGGGCGGATCATGGGCCGCTCATACCCTGCCTTCCTTCCTTCTCTCATCGGAGACTTCTCACCTAGAGCCTGGCCACGGGGGCCAGGGCACAATACGGCTTCCCACTTGGCCTTGAACTAGAGCTGATTCTGTAAAGCCAAGGCACTCATTCGTGAATTTACACCTTTTTTAAACAAAGAGAAGATTCCTAATTAAGATTTTGTTTCCACAGAGTGCTAGAGCTGTAAGTAAGAAAGCCAAATGAGACAGAGGGGAGAGTAGAGAGGTAGAGGAAGAAGGAGAGAGAGAAAGAGAAAGAGAGAGAGAGGGAAGCCTGGTGTTCAAGTCCCAGTACCAGCATATACGAAAACAGAATTCCAGTAGGTACCTATGTAATGACCTCAATATGCACAATCTTGTTTAAATTTAGACATCTGTAGATGGAGAAAGATCAAGAGAGAGGTTGTCCAAAACCATGTTTGATCTCTGACAAATATTTGATGAGCACTGGTAAGTGTACAAGAAAATTTAAGAAAAAAAAAACTGAGTTCTTAGCTGGGCACTGGTGGTTCACGTCTGTAATCTTAGCTACTCAGGAGGCTGAGATCTGAGGATCGAGGTTCAAAGTCAGTCCAGGCAAGAAAGTCCATGAGATTCTTACCTCCATTTAACTACTAGAAACCCGGAAGAGGCGCTGTGGCTCAAGTAGTAGAGCACTTGCCTTATTCTGAAGAGCTCAGGGGCAGTGCGCAGGCCCAGAGTTCAAGCCCCACGACACCCCACCACCACCAAAAAAAGAAAAGTTCCTGTTTCAGAAGCCTTTGTGGTCCACTGGCTGGCACAGATGGGCGGGGCGGAGACCATGGCGACTTACAGGAAACATACTGAAAAGTGGAGTCTGGCCAGAGAAAAGGAGCGGGCAGAGATGACCTATGGAAGGGTATAATTTAAGGTTCTCACTTGCTTTCGTCTCTACGCTTCCCTGCATTATTCACCTTTTTACAGAGACTCTTTCCTTTTCCCTGCCTACTTGGGAGGATGCCAGAGAGGCATTGTCTACACCCCATCTCAACCAGTACAGCTGGGTCTGGTGAGGCACACTCCCACCTTAGGGGAAGTGTGAACAGTCAGACTACAGGGGAGAGAGTGTAGGCATAAAGGTTAGACCCTTTTCAAAAATAAAGAAAATTAAAAGGGCTGGAGGGCATGTTTCAGGTGATTGAGCAGGCACAAAGCCCTAAGTTCAACCCCCACTACCACTAAAATTAAAGAGTTTTTTGCCATTGAGTTGTACAATGGCTGGGCACTGGTGGCTCACACCTGTCATCCTGGCTACTCAGGAGACTGAGATCTAAGGATCACAGTTCAAAGCCAGCCCAGGCAGGAAAGTCCATGAGACTCTTATCTCCAATTAATCACCAGAAAACAGGAACTGGAGCTGTGGTTCAAGTGGTAGAGCACTAGCCTTAGACAATAAAGTTGAGGAATAGCTCCCAGGCCCTGAGTTCAAACCCCAACAACCAAAATAAAGTCAGAAGTGGAACTGTGGTTCAAGTAGAAGAGCGCCAGCCTTGAACAAAAAAAAGCAGGAATGAGGGGGCCTCAATTCAAGCCTCAGTACTGATACACACATTAGAAATAATAATAATAAATAATAAAAGTTGGGGAGTAGGGAAGGCTACCTCTTTGCTAAGATACCAGTTTTCAACCAACTTAAGTGGCTTGGGGAAACTCAGTTACACTGTTTCCTATTCGGAAAGTTCCAAACCTGTCCAACCAGGTATCTAAACACCAGGATTCACCCAAACCAGTTCCTTCATCTGACTATGCGAATGTCTTATGATGGAGATGGACATGGAAATGTCTCTAAAAGCATGATCCTGTCCCTCCGCACTGCCTCACACTCACTTGATTTACAGGAAGAAACCCTTCAAAGCTCACTTGGTAGAGGGGATGGGCACCAGCCTGGCCCATTACTCTCTTTCCCTTCCTACTCTCCGGCTCCTCCCTCCCCTGCCTTCTTCCCACCCGCCCAGTTTGCTAGCTGAATTGTTCATGCGCCCAGACCCAGGCCCATGCCCAGGCACCAGAAGCACTGTTCAACACCTGCCATCTCTAACAGCCATCTTCCTTCTACGTGAACCTTGAGATGAGCAAGGCCAGGTGAGCGCCAGTGCCAGGGGAAGGTGCCAAGGGATGGGAGCAGTAGATGTACACATTTACCTGCAAGGGACAGAGTCCTCAGTCCTACCCTGCTAGCTTCCTCTGGGTTTCCAGCAAAGTCCTTCGACTGGCATATTCGGGGGACAGGGTGATAGGTTATCAAGATTTTAGCAATTGAAGCTGCACATCGCAAAGGGACTTCCATCCCAAATGAATCACAGCACAGAGGTAAAGCACGTATATAAAGCATTCTCTTAGCATCTTCTCCAGTCTGAACCAAAAGTTTCATAAAGAAAAGGCTGAACTGGGGGTTGGTAGCTCATGCCTGTAATCCTAGCTATTTAGGAGGCTGATATCTAAGGATTGTGGCATGAAGCCAGCCCTGGTAGGTAAGTCCATGAAACTCTTTATCTCCAATTAACCACTTTAAAAAAAAAAGTAGAGCTGTGATTCAAGTGGTACAGCGCTAGCTAATCTTGAGCAAAAAAAGCTAATGGACAGCATCCAGGCCCGAGTTCAAGCCCCAGTACCAGCAAAAATAAATAAATAAACAATAAAGATAAGCCAAAGTATTTCAGAGATGAACACAGGAACATTGCTAAAAGAACTTGTGGTCTTAACTTTGAAAAGAAACACCAGAAAGGCTGTTTTAGGAAGGAGGGAGGGAGGTTCAACCAGACAAACTAGAAGAATAGGGAATAATCTGGAAACAAACATTTCACATCGCTTTACCAGCAGTCCCTAAAATTCTATAATGCATGACCTACCACCAGACAACTTGGAGAAGGGAATGGATTGGTTAGGGATTTACTCGGAAATTCAGAGATTCAGACAGAATTCAGGCTTCATGAAATTCCAAGGACCTGGTGGGCCCTTTCTTTTATTGTATTTTTGATACATTGGATTTTTTTCCCAGTCAGAAATAATTGGGCCCCTATAGATTTCTTTGGACACTGGGTTGTATGCAATGTCATTTATTTTACAATATTAATCTTTAAAAAAGAATGAAATTCTCACAACTCCATCGGCCTCCAGCCACATACCATAATGGTACACACACACACTCACTCTCTCTCTCTCTCTCTCATAGGAAAATGCATGCAGATCTAGGCCGGCAAGTTTACCTCTGTGTTGCTTGGAAAACCTTTCTCCAATTTCCAGTTGCCACAGCTGTCTTTTCCAGATGTTGGAGCACAGATGACTTTTCAAAGCCTCCGTCTTTGCTATTCCCAGAGGCCCGGTCTCATCCTCCCCTTGCTCCTCCGTTTTCCAAACTGCTCTAAGAAACCACCCAGCATCTGGGCAAGTGAGTGTCACCGGCCCGCCCCCTCTCAGCAGCTCTCACCTGACACCTGCACCCTTTTTAAAGGGGAAATGACATCCTTTCTTGACTGTAAGCAGCTTCCAAACCTTGGAAGAAATGAGCATGCTATGCTGGGGGTGGAGGGGCTGGAGGGTGTTTGAAGAGGGAAGTTGTCCTGGCTGAAGCATGGATGGTTAGGAAGCCATCTAAGTGTGGAAGATCCTGTGGGGGGCCCTTGAGCCCGGCAGCCATAAGCTAAGGACCTTAAAACTCCTGACAGCACACTTAGCACTGCCGGTTACATCCCATCTGATCTTCCCACTAAGCCATTAGGAGCTGAGCATCTACCTCCACCTTGCCCAGGGCTCAGTCCCAAAGACATTGACCCCATTCGGCAGAAAGGGGAACAACTCCATTTCTTGCCCCATGGTGGCTTGTGATAAGGCCTCAGAGTTGAAACTCAAATATGTACATCTTTGTGTGTGCACATACACACACACCACACACATGCATGCACACACGTGCATGTACACCAGTACTGGAGTTTGAACGCAGAAGGCCTTGTGCCCTTGCTTGACTTTTCTTAGCCAAGGCTGGTGTTCTACCCCTTGAGCTACAGCACCACATCTCACTTTTGCTAGTTAATTGGACTTTCCAGGCTGGTTTCCAGCTTTGATCTTCAGAGCTCAGCCTCCTATTTAGCTAGGCGTACAGGCACAAGCCAAGGGCTCCTGGCTAGGTGTATGTCTTCCTACGTCAACTCATATTCTTTTGCTCACCTTCACCAGGTTGACTGCGTTAATGCCGTGCCTAAAACTGGCTGGGACAAGACGCAGCACTGGCATCTGGGGCTGTGGAGACTGTCAGGTCTAACATTTACTTTACCTTATTGAGCACCAATCTTAGCACTGTACTCCTAGCTACTCAGAAAGGCTGATCTGAGAGTCAAGGTCTGAAGCCAGCATGGGTAGAAAAGTCCATGAGACTTTACCTCTTACCTCCAATTAACTAGCAAAAAGCTGGATGTGAGGTATGGCTCAACTGTTAGAGCACCAGCCTGGAGCAAAAAAAGCCAAGGAAGAGCATTAGCCCTGAGTTTAAGCCTCAGTATCAGCACACCAAAGAAAGAAAGGAAGGAAGGAAGGGAGAGAGAGAGAGAGGGAGGGAGGGAGGGAGGAAGGAAGGAAAGAAGGAAAGAAGGAAAGAAAAGAAAACTAGGACAGTGGGTAAAAGGGGGTTGAAAATTAGCGCCCCATCCAAAAGATGATCTGGAATGTGATTTATCTTTGGGGAACTTTCATAACTTATTGATAATGGATATTTTTTATTGTGAAAATACTGTACAGAGGGGTAACAATTACATGGGCAAGGTAATGAGTACATTTCTTATCAAGCACTGTTGCCTCCTCCTTTGTTTCCCCTTCCCATCCCTTCCCATCTCCCTCCCCTCCTCCCTTCCCACCCCCCAATGGAAATGTTAAATGATATCACGTGAAAATATTTTTGTAAACTATAGAGCACCACAAAAACATTTACCTTTCATGCCAGCCGTGTGGTTGCTAGCGATCTTGTAATTCACATGCATTAAGGTCATTCAGACAATGCAGTTTGGCTCCTGGGAGTTTGCCAGTCCAGGTAAGCCTGAGAAATTACTTCTGGACCCATGGGCTCAGAAGGTAATGGGCTGGACTAGGAGGTAGATGCCTCCTCGCTCCACTGTTTACCAGAAGCAGCCCCAGCCCACACACTCCTTCTGTGGACACACTCCTTCTGTGGTTTCTCCGGTATCATGGGCATTGACAGGGAACAATGTCGGAGACTGCATGATGTCACTCTGCATGTCACCTGATTTAGCAATACACAGGGGAGCCACACCAGGGGAGGCCCTGCCTCCAGCCAGGAACATTACCTGTTCTCCTTCCTCTGGACTGAAAAATGCATGAGAAAGTTCCTAGTGCTAAGCCTCAGACAAGGGAAAGAGGTAGTGGGGGGGTCGGGGGTGATGGAAGAAAATAAACACGATCCTTCTTTCTTGCAGATGTGTTTGTGTAACGCCATTGTTCCTCGCTGACTGCTAATCATCGGTATTAAATGCTATGGAATGATTTTGAATAAAAGGCATCTTCAAGAAGGAGTGCATGACCTAAATGTTTGTGTTCTTGATGAGGCCACTGGAAATGGTGCAAGAAGATATCACGTAACAGCCTGCTCATTTTTCCAATCATTTTATTATTTGAGAACGAAGTCAAAATGATTTGCCAAAAGTAGCAGCTCCTCTGTGGCCGGGTTAAGTCATATCAAATCCCAAGGCTTAGGACCAACAAATACATAGCCCCACACTTCAGGGAGCCAAGAATAATTCTTCCATGGGACAGCCTTGCCAGGCCTGACATCAGAGACAAGACTGAACTTCTTTTGCTGGCACCACGACGTACAGACATTCAAAGCCAGGCCTACTCCTCGGACGTCTCTTCCAGAATATGCTTAAAGGAGAAGGGAGAAAACTTGTACCCAGCCCCAGCATAGAACTTGTTCTGGAACTCCACCCTGTGGGTGGGAGAGAAAGGGAAGGGGGGGAAAAATGGCAGAACACATCCATTAGAGGCTGGAAGGTAGAGGCAAGAAGAGCACTCATAAAATCAAGGTCAAGTCAGGGGAAGGCAGCCTAGGCTAAATGGCTACCATAGGAATACTGATGGCTCCCTCTTCCCCCCCCTCCCCATCACTTCCTCCAGGCCCCAATGACCACTGCACAGTGTCTCCCCGCATCCTGACCGTCCTTAGCCTCCATCACAAGCAAGGACGTCCTCTCTGTGCAACATTATCAGAAGACAGCAGTATGCAGAGAGACAGATCGGCTGTCACCATCCTGCCTCTCGTTGCTGGGTCTACCCCCAGAGACCCTTGTCCTAGAGTCTCTTCACTGCCACAAAGCAAGATCACCCGTGATCGTTTGTGCTCTGTGACATTACAGCGTGCGTGTCTGTACGTTGTTAGTGACTTGGGGAAACGCTATCATCAAGGAAGCCGGGGATGCTGCGATTCTCTCCCCTAGATATGGTGCAAATGCTTGGCCTAGGAACAGCAGCCAACATGTCAGTGAAGGGCAGTAGGGGAAGCGCAAGAGCACATGCAGAATGCTCAGCCTAGAGAGGGCCGACTGTCTCTGGGCACACCTGTGGAGGTCAAAGGCTTCCATGAACTCTCCTCCCCTCCTTCTGTTTCTTCTTTAGAAGGAGGGAGGGAGGGAGGGAAAGAAATGAAAGGCGCATGCACTGAGCATGTGTAAATGTGTAAATGTGTACAACACAATGTTCTACAGATGTCGAAACTAAGATTCTAAAAAGGAACCTAAGTCGCTCCCATCCCGTGATGACAGGACGGACGCCCCCCACCAGCCCCAGAGCCTGTCCTGGCCCTCTGCAGCCCCAAGCTTCCAGGGGCCAGGCAGGCTTACCAGTGGAGCCGCAGGGCGTGCAGGAAGGCGGACAGGCCCTCCATGACCAGCAGGATGGCCACTGTGAGAACAGCGAACACAGCAAAAATGACGAAGACGCCGATGATCCCTCCCCAGCCGCGCACGCGCAGGCCAATGTTCATCACCATGGTCCAGAGCACTTCAGACAGTTCTGCAGGAGGCAAGAGGAAGATGCTCGGCCCCAGGGCACACCTGGTTCCTGCGGATCCCTGCCATCCTGGCCAGCTTTAAGGCAGCTCCACTCCGGCACCTGCACTCACCATTGCCTCCAACAGCGCTGCTCACAGTGGCAGAGTTTGGGGAAGAGGGAGACAGACAAACACAGGGTGATATTCACCCAGGGGAGTAAGCAAATTGGAGCTATTGGCAACCAGATGGGTAAAAACAATTGACATGACTTGCAAAGAAGCATCAGGAGGCTTTGCTCGCTCCCTCTCTCTCCTCAGCTTGGGAGGACATATGGAGAAGGCAGCCATTTGCAAGCTAGGAAAAAGGCTCTCATCAGAACCTCGAGGCCAGCCCCCTCAGCTGAGACTGCCAGCCTCCAGAACTATGGAACATACCTGTCTTTGTTAAGGTGTCTATGGGACCTTATAATTTCAGCACAGACTCACTAAGACAAAATCCTATTTGTACAAATTCAAACATGGGTAAGTTGGGCACCAGTGGCTCATGCCTGTAATTCTAGCTACCCAGGGGACTGAGATCTGAAAACGGAGGTTCAAAGTTAGCCTAGACAGGAAAATCTGTGAGACTCTTATCTTCAATTAACTAACCTTAAGCAAAAAAAAAGCTAAGAGATAGCACTCAGGCCCTGAGAGCAAGTCCCAGTAGTAACACACACACACACACAAACACACACACACACACATGAAAGCACTGGTGGCTCACACCTGTAATCCTAGCTAGTCAGGAGGTTGAGATCTGTGGATCACGGTTCAAAGCCAGCACAGGTAGGAAAGTCTGTGTGAGACTCTTATCTCCAACTAACCACCAGAAAACCAGAAGTGGTGCTGTGGCTCAAGTGGTAGAGCATTCACCTTGAGCTGAAGAGCTTAGGGACAACACTCAGATCCAGAGTTTAAGCCCCACAACAGAAAGAAAGAAAGAAAGAAAGAAAGAAAGAAAGAAAGAAAGAAAGAAAGAAAGAAAGAAAGAAAGAAAGAAAGAAAGAAAGAAAGAA